TCATGAGCCCCAGACAGGGCTCGACACCAAGACTTACTGACTGACTGACCGTCAGTCGCAATGTGACTTGAACTTGGACGAGAGAGTCTCCTGCCCGTGTGGAGGCGGGGTCGAATACCTCCACCGTGACCCTGCAAGTCGTAGGAGGCGACGAAAAGGGAAGTCTCAAATCTGAGACAGTAAAATATGGTCGCGAGTTTCAAGGGACTCGGACCCGAGAAAGACCGCGCTGACAAGGGCCAACAGCATATACAAAAGACAGACCCGTTCTCTCGTCAGAAAGGGCGCCCCACAAAAATAAGACCGTCGTAATTGTAAAACGGTAATAATTAATATCTGGGCTCGACACCAAGACTTACTGACGATGTCGATTCCAGGGCCATAAACTCAACCCGTCCATTGTTACATGGCGCAGTCCACATAGAAAATAGCTTCACGTGTCAAGCTGCGAGTTCACTGGTCCGTTACAAGCACTGGGAGTGGAGCGGACGACATAGAAAACACAGCCTCATCTACTGTTGTCTATTGGACCGTATTTACAGAGCTGTTTCCTGGCGACACTTTGATCAATTCCGTTACAATATTTTTACTAGGTCCACAGAGTACTGCCTAATTTTTCCTATAACATTATTAATAATTTAAATGAATATTTAAAAAATTCTCAAGCAATGTAGTAGCGCATATCTTTTTCCACAGGAAAATAAGAAATTTATTTCGGTGACTTTTAGAACAGGAAACACGTATTCCATAGCCTCCGTCCAACATGGTTCCTGAAATGCGGCCTTGCGCTGTTATCATCTCTGCCGGCATTTGGCTTCCCGAAATAGTTAGAAAACAGCTTCACGGCACCTGAGGAAAAATCCAATAGCACTCAGGCGCTTTATCACTGCCCTCTAAACACGAACCAAATCACAGACTGACAACGGAGAGGGCCCAACAAATGCAATTCCTCAGAAATTGTTACTTACAGAAATACTTACTGGACAGTGCCACCTAAAACGACACCTTTTCAAGTTGGAACTGACAGATAACCCAACTTGTGAAAGGTACAAGAACACGAATCAGCCGCACACATCCTGTGTGATTGTGAAGCCATAGCTTATTTAAGATTTCGTCACTTGGGCCAGCTTTTATGGAACCAAGTGACTTTTATGGCGCCCCCATAAGCAGGGTCCTACACTTTATTAAAAGTGTAGGATTAATAAAGGGCTAATCCAAGGGGGAGCACAACAGATCACTGATGGTCGTAGTGCGGGGATCGGTTTTTATGGTCCACCTCTTACATACATACATGACACCTATCTGAAATACGGATCTGCTAGAAATTGTCGCCGAATATATCGTGATGAAAGAGTTCCAGCAGACAGAAAATTCACAAATTGGTGAATAAACTTAGAACGGGACTCTTTAACACACAAGGAACAAAGACATAAGCGCCGAGTGCTTACTGAGTAGAAGTTTGATGACATAAGGGGACAGACTTGAACATACGCCTAGAAAATCATTGGAACATCTAACTCAAGAGACTGGAGTGTCAAAGTTTTGTGCAAGAACTGCAACAAAACTGCTGGAGCTTAGACCCTATAAAACAACAGCAATCCACGCCTTGCAGCCGCGCGATCCAGCTAACAGGGTTCATTTTCGTTAGTTGGTTTCTACAGTCTGTCGTCGAAGGTGAGATCGATCTGCAAATGACATTCTTTCCTGACGTAGTGTGGTTTCACTTGCAGGGATACATAAGAACGAAAATAATTGCTACTGGAGTTCACAGTATCCACATCTAACCCACTAAGTCCTACTCCATCCAGTGAAAGTTTGTGTTTGGAGTGCTTTAAGTGCAAGAAGGATTGTTCGACCTGTGTTTTTTAACGAAACAACTGTGAAAGATGAGTACACGCCATTCTCGGGCAATTCCTTCTAGAGCTGACAGAAGACGAAGGGCTCTGTGGCTGATTTCGGCAAGACTCATCTACTGCCCACACTGCACTATGTCTATGCAGGCTTTGTCCGATGTCTTCGGGGACAGAACTATCAGCAGTGGCAGTTGGCCACCACGTTCACCTGATCTCAGTCCTCGTATTTTTTCCGGGGTTGTTTGAAGGACAACGTTTACAGCAGTAACCACCAAACGGAAGAACTAAACGGTAATATTCGTGGGGAAACTGCAAACATTGCTGCAGAAAGGTTTCAAGGGTAAATCAGAACGTCTTCCGCCGAGGCAAAGAATGTAAACGTGTACAGGGATCAAATTTTCAGCAACTCTTGCTTCACTCAGAACGTTATCGGCCAACAGGCATATTGATCCAACGGCAATATTGGCATGGGCCTAGCAGCAACCGGTACACCGGCTGCCGTGAAGAGCAGAGCCATGGAACCAGTCAACAAAGTAAAAATCCTCCCTCTATATTCGGGAATGACACTGACAAATCAAAGCTGAATTCATGAAAAAATTACGGGAATCCCTTCTACTATTCAATTAAGAATTTCCTGCCTTCCTGTCTGCTATCTAATAACTTAATGATTTAAATATATAAAATGACTGTTTCGCTTCTAGATTTGCAGGGGTATGAGACTTGGTCTCTGACATTAATGTAAGAAGACCGAGGATGTTCGGAAATACAGGATTTTTACTTTGTTGACCGGTTTCACGGCTCTGCACTTCACGGCGGCCGATGCGCCGCTTGCTGCGAGGCGCATACCAATTCTGCAGACGAATAGGCATGCCTGACGGCCGATAACGTTCCGAATGATGGGAACTTCTTACCTATGGGTATTTATGTATCACTGCAAGTGAAATCACGCTTCATCATTTGAGAATGTTAACTGCGGATCGATTTCACCTTCAACGGCAGACTGTAGAAACCAACTGCAAAAAAGAACACTGGAAGCTTGATCCCGCGGCTGTAGGTTGTGCGTGAATTGCTGTTGTTTTATAGAGTGTAAGCTTCGGCAATTGTGTTGCAGTTCTTGCGCTAGACTTTTGACACTTTAAGTCTCTTGCGCTAGACGTTTCAGTAATTTTCTATGTGTATGTTCAAGTCTGGCCCGTATGTCATCCAACTCCTGAATTAACAGCCGGCGCTTATGTTTTGTTTCTTGTTTGTTAAGAGTCCCGTTGTTCTAAGTTCATTCATCAAATTGTGAATTTTCTGTCTGCTGGGAACTCTTTCATCACGAAATTTTCGCCGACAGTCTCTAGCAGATCCGTATTTCACATTGGTGTCATACAGAAACACACGTGCTCTCAAGTATACCACACCATAACGTACCACATTGCTCACTAACTATAACTGAGAATAAACGGCCAATGGAGCTGATAATTGCTGCTACTGCTGACAAATCGTAAACAAACTCCCACGCATGAACAGCACTATTCGCCGTGAAATATAACGCCGTCAAGCAGTACAGAAAATTAGTAACTTCTCTTAATTCCAAACGTTATCGGCCGTCAGACATACTGATTCATCGACAAAATTCATATGCACCTCGCAGCCGACGGTGCACCTGTCGCCTTGAATCGCAGTGCCGTGAACCGATAAACTGTCTGTATACGGACCAAAGAGGGAGAAATAGAAGGACTGAGAAAACTGCATAAAGTTTTATAATTTGCATCCCTTGTCAAATATTATCTGGACGGACAGAGTGTTTCTACATATAAATGTGATGAATACTGTAATTGTAATAAGATGTTGTGGGTTTAAAGTGTCTTTCTCGTGGTGAATACTTTTGTACTGCACCAAATTCTGTAACGGCCAGTCATAAATCTGAGTTTAACTGACCATTAGAGGCGGTCACAATCTAAAGTATCCCAAAATATCTTTCATAACATAATTATTGTATTTGTAATCCAGGTTCATTGGCTCACTACTCAAAGAAAACCATCCAAGTGGCTGGGCGTTCCATCGGACAAAATGTATTTTTATACTGAATTATAATAATATTCGGTAAGTCTTGGTCGTGTGAGGTAATATATAAAGCTAGAACACTGGCGAAAGATGGGTTCCAATATGCTGTAACTTCACAAAACGAAACGCAAATATTCCAGCACACCAAACCAGTCCCGATAACGTACTGAACGGTGTGTTACGAAATCGATTTAGATTTAAAATCAAGGGCTACTATGTTTGTATCATAAAAGGTAATTAACCGTGGTCTCTTCTTCTAACTGACAAAATTTCTGCGCAATTTCCCAAAGAACTGGTTGTGGGCCTACGCTTGACCGCGTTACACATACTGCACAACAAAAATCAACTGTAATTAAACTTATGGCACTAGTTTTCTTTCAAATCTGGATGATTAAAAGAATGGCTGTAATTTATGTTGATGTAAAGACCAATATCTCATCTCCTTTGAAATGAGGTCATGTATGGTGACCGATGATTATGTGGCATCCAAAATTCTGCTGCTTCATTTGACATCCGGCAATAGTGTCATGCCATCTTGTGTACGACCTCAAACGTCACTATCATACTCAGTCAATTTTCGCTACAAAACTCAATCTAAAGTCAAAAATGTAACTGCGATAGTTTGTAGCTGAAGTCACACAATTATCTCAGAAACATTCAGCACTGTACTTTCTTTTCCATTTCTGCACAGTATTCAATATTCGATTACTACTTTACAACCATGAACATATATGATTAAACCATGCATAGAAAACATATATTTTACTTTTCCTAGGGATTGGCGTTCTTTTCTTGATTTCAATTCACTGGTTTTGACTATCATGTGCACGTACGTGAGTATCAAGACACAATCAGGCACCTAACAATTCGTAAATAAGCTGTACATAGCCGACGAGTTAATATAATTCCTAAATTATTTTCACTACTTTCACCACATATTTTGATCTCATTACGAGTATACTGAAATTAACTTACATTCTTGTTTTTTTTTTAATGACGAGAACATATACGTTCATACTTACACCTACAAGATTTAGTTGCTACTATATTGATTTGGTAAACTGCAGAAAAATTCCGCTTTTTAATCGAACTCACCTTCAGGTACAACTGATTGAGAAATGTTTTTGTCAGTGATGTTACTCAATACACATAAACACTCCCAACGCAACGCACAACTCGTAACTCGAGAACACAACTGTTTCTTACTGTATCACAAGTAGACCTTATATAAAATGCCTCCCCAGTTTATAGAAGCACTACACCCGTGATCACTCAATTCTCAGCACGAAATGTAATAAGTGTCAAAATTTTACACCGTCTTCATCAGCTGGTATTAACTGCGGTATAACACCCCACATGTTTGCGCGTTAATACGTGAACTTACATTAGTCTACGCAACCGAGAAAGTGCACGGCGAACTGCCAGAATAGAAAACATATTATGTCAGAAGTGGCAGCGGGTAAGTTCAGATATTTCCCGCGTGATGGAGCCAGTATATGGAAAGTTCCCTAAGAAGCTTTATTCGATGATCCTACGCAGCAGGTAACATACTCGTATGTACCAACCAATAAAACCGTTGCAAACACGACTATTAACGAAGGTTCGTTCTAGTAAATGTCCACCTGTATTTGGATGTTTTAAATTTACCGCCAAATGCGACTGGTATTCTTAGTCACGTCTCCTAGCAAACTGTTATGGTAAGCGTGGATTGCGATTTATAAGTAATCTGATAACATACGGCATGACGAAGGTAAAGGTAAAATTGTCCTTGTGCTTGTTTAATTAAGCACTACTCCATGATGACGCGTGGGGGATTCAATGTATAGATGCACGTTTCCTCTGTCTCGGTACTAGTTGGTGGGTGGTCAACTTCACGCCCCCGGTTCCCACTGGATAGGCTGGGTGGGTCCTAGTGAACTACATGGATAACACAAAATTCTTGATCTTACCGGGACTCGAACTCCTCCCCCTCGGTCGTTCAGCCTGTAGCCAGTCGCTATACTGACTCAACGACCATTAATGTTATTTTTCCTCCCCCAATATAATGGTAAATGAGAAAACCGCAAACAATACATACATCAGGCATATACTGTTGGCAATGCACAGCCGTAAAACTAAATTATTAAAACAATCCGGCTTTAATGGGCACACCGTGCACTGAGTTAATTAATATCCACATAAACTTGGCATTCCATAAGGGGGGGGGGAATTGAAATGTAACAGTAATGTAGAATTGCTGATCATTACTTGAATTTTGTGACCTGTATTTGCCAGCTTCACATAATTTTATTTATGTACTTTTAATCTGCTCTGTATTGAAGTGTTTCTGGCATAATATAGGAGAAAGAAGTTTCTCTTCTTGAATCCCCACATATATCTCCTGTACTTCTTGTCTGGTCACCAGAATGTAGTCCAAAATCATGAAGTACAAACTGCTAATAAACCTATGTAAGATTTGAGGCTTTCACGGCGGTGACTATGAAGAAAGCAGTCTTCTTGGATTTGGCACCGTGTATATGTGGTGTTAACCGACGTTTCGGAGGAACGTATCGCCTCCATCTTCAGGATAGAAGAAAAAATATAAGAAATCTGAAAGCGAAGAGACCGTGAGAACCTCCTCAATCAGAGCTTCTGTGTCCTATTTAATATCAGTCACCACTGAGTTTCTTGTACCTTCCTAACGCCATATTCTACAGCAGTTGCAAAGCAATAACAATAAAGCATCTCCTTGTTTTATACCATTCTGAACAATAAGTGTATCGATAAATATTTACCTATACAGACTTTACTATATATTTTGTTTAAACACATTTTAATGAGCTTAACAGGGAGGATTTTTAGTTTGTGGATGAAGTCCATGGCTCTGTGCTTCACAGTGGCCACTGTGCCACTTGCTGCAAGGTACATACAAATTTTGCTGATGAATCAGCATGCCTGAGGACCAAAAACGTTTGGAACGAAGTAGTTACAATTCACAGATCACAGGAGATGTTGAAAATATATGTTTTGCAATTAATTGTTTCATTAAAAAACAGGTATAACAAACCTCTTAGCACTTACAGCACACCAGCCACCAACTTTCAATGGATGGCTTCAGCAACTGTATTGCCATTCTTGCACTAGACTTTGATGCTCCAGCCTCCTGAGCTAGACGTTCCAGTGATTTTCTTGGTGCATTTTAAAGTCTGGCCCCCATGTCATATAACTTCTCCTCAGTAAGAGTTTGATGCTTATGCTTTTGTATCTTGTCTATTAAGAGTCCCGTTGTTCTAAGTTTATTCACCAAATTATAAATTGTGTGTTGGAAACTCTTTCATCATGAAAATTTGTGTCAAAATATTTGCTGATACTTTCTAGCAGATCCACATTTCACGTTGGTGATATACAGAAATATACACTGCTCTAAAGTATACCACACCACGACTACCACACTGCTTACTTACTGTAACCAAGACAAACTGGCTAATGGAGCTGATAACTGCTGCCTACTGCTGACAAATCATAAACAAACTCCCAGGTATAAACTGCACTGCTTGCTGTGTAACATAATGCTGTCAAGCAGTCCACAAGTTTATTATTTCCAATCATTCCAAACCTCATTAGCCACCAGGCATGCTGATTCATTGGCAAAATTCATATGTACATCAGCTGCTGTGAAGTGCAGAGCCATGGACATGGTCTACAAACTAAAAATCCTCCCTATAATTCCATGGGGACCCCAAACTCAATTAGCACACTGTACAATACTTCCAACCTAACTGAATCATAGTTTTGCTTGAAGTCTATAAATAGCTGATGCACTGTCTCAATGAACTCCATTTTTTTTTCCAGATCTGACAAATGCAAAAACCTGATCAGTACCTGAACTGTTATGCTGAAACCCACAGTGCCGATACCCAATAATTTCATCTATGTATGGACTTAACCTTGAGTGAAAAATATTAGATAAAATTTTATATGATGCTCATAACAGTGACATGCCTCAACAATTACTACAGTCAGTTTTATTGCCCTTCTTGTATACTGGAAGAATAACAGACTTCTTCTGCTGCTGAGGCTACTCTTTCTTATTCCAAATAGAATTAATGAGTTCACAGATCTCCTGTTTGAATCAGTTCTGCTGGAATGTGATCAGTATCTAGTGATTTATAACTTTTAAACTTTACAACAGCAATTTCAACCTCAGAACGTCTAGACTCAGGTAGTAATGTCTCACCTGCACATATCTGCTTCTGCCTAACATCACTAACCCCATGTACATTCAATAGCTGAGAGAAGTTACACCGATTTAAAATGTTGTGAGAATCTGCAAGCAGATCATCATTCTTATCTTTTACAAAGTTAGTTGATTGATAACCTTCCTTAAATTTATTTATTCCTGTATACAAGTCTCTGTTTTTCTTCTTCTTACTGTGTGTTGCAAGCTCAGTAATTCAAATGCATGCTCACTGTACTGTAAAGTTATTTCATATCTTTAGCCCCTACCTATAATGCTCACATTAAATTGCTGTTACAAGGTTGCAACTCAGCTTTCGTACCTGTGTTATGGAAATATGTCTTGTGAAAAAGAGCTTGTTCTGATGACAATATGCAGCGGTACCAGTGATCACTGCAACAGAATGAAACCAATTACTCCCTATATTCATGTATCTGGTATATTACGCTTTTGTGCTATATTAACAATCAAGAATTAAACATGGTTAAACATCTTGAAATGAGTGTATTTCTAGAAATACTGCTGCTTTTCTTCTGAAAATGACATAAAAATGTAGAGGAAGTAAAATTGTATACAACAAATGTCAATAAAGAAAGTATTTCATTAATGTACAATATACTTCAAATGTATAAAATTACTAAGTCAATATCCAGCATCTTATAGAAATCTGCAGTAAGCAGTCCTCAAAGGACACCTGTTCAAACTGGGACTAAGTGATAGTCCCACTTGTGAGAGGTGTCAAGAAGAAAACGAAACAGCCACACATATCCTGTGGGAATGTGAGGCCTTAGCTTATTTGAGATTACATCACTTGGGTCGATATTTTATGGAACCAAGTGACTATTTCATTTGAAGCACAGGACTGCTGAGGGGATAATCAAAATGGGAAGCACAATAGACCAATGTAGGTTGTGGTGCAAGGGCCAAGAAGGCCTACCCCTCATACATTCATTCATTCATTCATTCATTCAAGCAGTTCCTGTTTATACAAAGTGAAATTAATGAAATTTTGAGTTAAACAAATTAAAATTCCATCCCCTTGATGTATGTTTATGATCAGTATAACAAAATTAAGTGTTAAATATATAATAAGTATTTTCATCATTGTTTCATCATCAACTTGTAACTTCTTGGCATGACATATTGTTAGAGACCTTCACAGATCTGTCAAACTCGCTTTCCACAGTCACACAGCACTGAATCCACAGTATATAAATGCCAGTGTTACTGTACAGGTAAATCTGAAGAGAGTAAAACAGTACATACAGAGATGTATGAAAGACTTCATGGACATCAGTAACATAACATGAAAAAGAATACACAGAGACCTTGGAATACATATAGAAACCTATCCCTAGAAACTGAACATAAAGGTTCAGTTTATATCAATTATATATAATTTAATTATACATTATATCAATACAATAACTAAAAGAAATGCATCCTTAAAGGCTCATGTATCAGCAGTGACAAACAGACCCTGCAACACAGGCTGCAGAATGTCAACTTAACCAAATAAAAGACTGGTTAATAATCATAATACAACAAATAAAACACAAAGCACAGACAACTTCACAGTGTTACAAATATACTGTGGAAGCATAAAGAAGAACGACGTGTATCAAATATAGTGTGATTGCAATAACAGATGTGATAAATTCTCTCTTCTGTGACATAGTCCCGTGAAAGTCAACTGATGTTTCAGAGGAATATAAAGTTCCAGCTTCATGGCAGAGGAGAGAGCCAGGCAAGAAACCAGCAAGAAGCTGGCAACATCAGAGTTACTTGATTGGCTTACTCTTCAATCCAAAAGGTTGTGACAGCATGTTCCCCAAAAATGCCTAGTAATGTTCACCAGTCTACCTGGTGTCATATTCCAAAAGACAGTACTCTTCATAGCCACTACAATGAAATATCAAATCCATAATAAGACTTGATGAAACAGTTGATGACAGAATCAAGATGACACATATTATTCATAAACAATATCTTAATATAGCTATTATGAGTGGACTGTATTATTGCTCCCTCATGCACGAATGATTTATTCAAAAAGTTATGAGTTCCACAGTACAGGATCAGGTAGAACAGATTTACCTACACAGGGTATCATGTAGCTAGGACAGATCAGCATTCGGATACTCTGCGCAGTGAGCCACATCAGACCAGTAACATTATGGATTGATTAGCAGTGAATGTTGCATGGAATAATTTAATGATTTGAGTTTTATACATTGAATGAGATCTGTGGTTCTCTGGGTGATATGAAAATTACTGTTTCCTGTGACAAGACACCAACTAGTCTGGTACATAGGAGAAATGTGATGCCTCAAGCTCATGCAGAACCCAGGTACCCCGAAGATTTGGGAAGCACTTTCCTCAGAAACATAGGAAAGCGTCTTCCAGACTGCACGGCGTCATATCTCAAAATGTGGTAATGCTTCTTGGATATTACGGTTGGTTATGTTTATGGACATAGCAGTAGCAGTATTAGTGGTGATAGTTGTAAAACATTCGTTCATAGAAATAGCGTCAGTTTTACGGACTACTTGAAAGCTAACAAAACCATCCTGCATATTCTGCTACAGTAATGATAAGAATAACTACAAGCAGCAGGAACCACCTATAACCTAGAGCCGGTAATCCATCCTTAACCTCACTCATTCAGTTCTGCTATATTATTACCTGAGAATGTTTGTGTGGGTCAAAGATATTAGAGCACTTACCACGATATGTAAACGTCCTGTTAGTTTGTTGTATATACTTCTCCACCCATTGTCTTTACTTTCATAAACTTACAGCCTCCTTACGGTTCTTTACGCTTCTCCACGTGTTCAACGCTTTCAACCATTATTATAATTATAATTTATTTACATGTGGCAGTTCCCGCAGAGTTTCGCATTCAGCCTGCAGATTTTGTGTTCTGTAGTCTCTGTCCAGTCCAGTAAATGATATGGATTTTGCACGGAATCAGTTAGTGAAATATGGTTGGAAGGAAGGTTTGTAACAATAATATATATATATTTTACAGAAGGAAATGGTTTTCGGTATTTGATGTTAAAGACTTGGTAAAGTAAGTACAACGTAGTTCACGTGGATAAATTCTTGCTTTGTTTAAGAGTAAATCGTTCGGCTGAGGATACTGATTTCGTTTTATATTATACAGTATTCCGGTTTGCGGTAAATTGTTTCGGCATAAACATAAGGATTATCTGTAATGAAAAGTTAACATAGGCCCCACACACACCAAACCTACCTAACTTCATGCATTATCACATTTATAATTTTTATACAGCAGTGTCACGATTCGGTGTTCTGGCAGTTGCTTTTAATTAATATTACATCCACCCCCCTATACGCCTTCATGTCATAGTGCTTACTCAGTTAGGTACAGGGAAAGCTACTTTTTTTTTACTGTATAGTAAATATTTCCCATGTGAACTTAACCTAAGCATGTTCAATCAATTCTGATAGTATGCCAGTCTTTGACTTAATTCATCTGGGACATAACAAGGAACTTTTGCTGTTTTAAAATGACTATATATATAAATTATCATTTAAGAAGCCATAAATCCAGATTAACCCAATCCTAAAAGTGAGCCAGTATGCCATTACTAACTGATGTGTTGTCTTTGCTTGCCTTGTTGTTAAAAGCAGCTTATTTTCGAATTCCTGTTACTTCTAATTTTGGACAGCACACCATATCTGTAAGGTTAGGTTATGCTAAGCTTATGTAGCTTAAAGAAATTGCATGGGGGGAAAGTGCCTCTAATATGATAACTGTATTATGAGGACCTTCATGATTTGTATCTGTTGCTTCTTAAGGCAGTAACATGAAGGTCATTATTGGTTTGACGTGTCACTCAGATGAAACAGAAGCATACAGAGAATCTGGATGGGATAAGATCGTAGAAAGCAACAGCATCAAAACAAAGATAAACTAGGAGGCATAACACTGAAGCCAGTCCTAAAGAAGTGCATTTTTAGTAATATCAACTGGAATCATCTGGTATTGGCTTTTGTGAAAGCTGATGAACTTTTAGGTAAAATACCAGAGGATTAGAATACTTAGTTTTGTCTAATGAAATATTAATTTCAGACATTCATGGAAATTTGTATTTCTTGTTACAGGTAAAGGCCTTGGGCGAAATGAATCAGGAATTACAGAGGCACTGAAACCAAAACTGAAATTTGATACCCGAGGAGTTGGTCATGATGCTTCTGAGCAGTTCACATACCACTGGTGGGAACATGCTTTTAATAAAGCAGCAAAAAATATCCAAGTATCTTCAACTGAAGTAAGTGCAGAACTATAGTTAAGCCAGGGTGGTCCATGGCAACACACTTGCACTTTTTGTTTGTTTTTTTTAGTGCTAGGTTGGGGCACCCTGGTGCTTCCATTAAAATGATATCAAACACATGACATCACCTAAGAGGAATGGGGTGTGAACTCACATCCATAAAATACAGAGTATGACCCTCTGGAATCTTAGAAAAAATATGTATTATGAAAGTCAGACATAGTACACAATTGCTCTGTTGTTAAAACTTCCTGATAGTTATCAATAATGAAATTAAATACAATGCAAGACAAGGCAAACAAGCATGCCATAATCACACATTCAGATACAAGAGCAGTTGCCAAGGTGTACCAAAGAAAGTTCATATTTTTCAGTACTTTTTAAACATATTAGGTGTGATTAAATTCATTACTTCCTTTTAAATGAAAATCCCTTTTGAAATCTCGTTGAAACAATTGCTCTAGATTAATTATAAATTCGAACAGTATCATATTCATTTCTGTGCTTGCCTTTGATTTGGAATGCTCCACCACCTATGATGGCATGCAGGGAAAATGAAGTATAAATATTTCATCTACAATATTCACAAAAATGCTTGAAAGAAACTTTTTATTAAAAGTCTTATATACAAGGGAAATGTAAGGACTTATAGCTTGTTTAATTTCTGATCTCTCTGTCTGAGGTGTAAGCATCAATCTTTAATTATGTGGATTCATTAGTTGTTTATCATTCATATCTACATTTAGAAGTGTAAAGCTAGTGTTAGGTAACAATGACATTAGTTTCATACAATTCATGCCTGTTTCTCTCAACCTGGAAATGTATACCAGGCTGCCCCTAGCATTTTTATTTTGGGACTACACCTGTGAGTGAGGAAAGGTTCTACCAGACTACACAGCCCCAGAGTACTTTTCCTAGTTGCTGCCATGAGAAACTCATACCACACATCCTGACATTCAAGTCTGCTTTGACTATAACAAACTCTGCCGCTGCCGCCACCACCACCGCCTCATTTAATCTTGTCATTTACTACTGTCCCTCATCTTATTCACCAAGGAAAATATAAATCATGTAAGGTTCATAAATAGGCGCTTTGTAACAAGGCGTACAGATGTGTATTCATATGATGGCTACACGGCAGAGAGATCCATAATCACATCACAGATTTGACACAGACAGTAATGATAACAAAAGCAAGATAAAGCAGAAATACATTATTAAAAAGTACCTCAAGAGAGTTCTGTCATGTATGAAAAGTCAATCTAGCACAGATTCCCTGAAAGTATATGGTCTTGATACTGAACGTGTTATTGAACAAATCAATGAATGAAATGAAATGAGTTGAAAGTATGGCACAGCTTCCATTGGTGGGTCACTGCTGCTGAACAGAATTTAACCAAGTCTGTGCAGCTGGTAGAGTCGAGTCTCCCTCTCTGGAGATCTCCAACCATCTCTGATATCGAGGTATGGTTCATTACAAGCCTTGGCACCAGAATGGTACAGGGGCTTGAGACATGCATGAAGGTAAACATGCTAATAGGTAGAGAGAAAGAGGATGTAGGGAAACAAACTATGGAAATAAATGGAAAGAGATAGAAGGACAAGGTACCAAGCTCTTGCAGATAGTCCACAGTACATCCTCTGAGCTGTTGCACAGCTCAGCATGATGGCAAGTTTGTCTCTCCTCATAAACTAAGGAAACAAGGCTGAAAAGGGATGACACTAGGACAATAAAGTTACTTCTTACATGAGTTTATACATTTCAGGATGGAGTTGATGTAAAATTACAGCAAGAAAGTGTAGCTATAAATACCACAAAATATGCAGTGAAAACTGTCAAAAACCCTCTGGAATATGGAACATTCCTTAAGGTAGGTCAAAGAAAATGAATGAACATTTGAATGAATGAATGTACGAGTATGAGGGGTGTGCCATAATAATCCTGCCCTTGCACCACAACAATCAATGATCTATTATGCTTCCCCTTTCATTAACCCTTTATTAATCCTACACTTTGAATGAAATGTACGACTTTGTTTATCGGGGTGTCATAGTAGTAGTCACTTGGTTCCATAAAGAACTGGCCCAGGTGNTCCTACACTTTGAATGAAATGTATGACTTTGTCATAGTAGTAGTCACTTGGTTCCATACAGAACTGGCCCAGGTGGTGAAATCTTATGGCGTCACAATCACATAGGATATGTATGGCTGATTCAGCCTCTTCTAGGCATCTTTCACAAGTGGGATCATCTCTCAATCCCAGTTTGAAAAGGTGTCCTTTTAGGTGACAGTGTCCTGTAAATAGTGCTATCACCCATCTTAATTGGTCTGTTTACCTTCAACAGACCCTTTGTTCTTCTGGCAGAGGGTCCCGATGTAGATCCCTTTGCCTGCTTGAGTCCAGTTATGGCTTCCCAGTGTTTTTTTTTTTGGGGGGGGGGTTCTGTTCATCCGGTCCCTGACCGCTTTCTTGGCAGCTCCAGTTGAGACGCTGCAAACGGATGTTCAGATCCTGTTCTTGCCAGCTGATCTGGTTCATTACCAGCAATGCCCTCATGACCTGGCACTCATATCAGTTGAACTCTGTCATGTTTGGCCAGTTGTATGAGGTACTGGTGGCAGTCCTAGACCAGTTCTGAGGTGATGTGGCATGTACCAAGTGCTTTAATAGCAGCTCGATTGTCTGATAGAATACAGATGTTCCTATTTTATAGTTTCTATCTAGATTCTCAACTGTACATGCCTTAATGGCATGCACATCTGCCTGGAATACTGTTGTGTACTGCCCTAAGCTAAAATTAATTTTCCACCTTTTCCCATAGCAATACACCACAGCTCCAGTAACTTTTTTGGTCTTTGAACCATCTGTATACCTGATTAGTCCCCCTTTCACCTTTTCCATTCACTTCTATCAGGGAATCTGATCATGAATGGTTTATCATAGACATGTCTCAGTATCATTTTATCAGACTCCATCTGTTGAATGGGTTCCTGTTTCATGTTCTGAGTCCAAAACCTTCAGATTTTGGTTTCTGCTGATCGTTATAACATAGTCTGTAATTTCCTACCTTGGCCTCCTCTTCCACCTACAAGTGTAGTGGGGGTAGTCCAAGGAGGACTTCCATTGTAGCTGTTGGAGCTGTTCTCATTGCTGCTGTAATTCCCAAGGAGGCCATCCTTTGCAATTTGCTAAGTGTTTTAACTCTGGGCCGCTATATAGTGGCAGCATAGGTAACCATAGGTCTTACCACAGCAGTGTATATCCAGTATATCACCTTTGGTTTTCAGTCCCCAAGTTTTCCCAAATGTGCCTCTGCATTTTCAGAAGATCTTATAGCCCCTTTTGATAACCTTATCGAGCCGTTTTTTCCATTTCAGTCCTTTGTCTAATATTTTTCAAAGTACTTGACTTCACCGCATAGCCGGATCATTTTACTGAAGAGGATTGGCTCCTTGACGCCCTCTGTGTTTCTCTTCCTAGTAAAGGGCATAACTACCATCTTATTTGGGTTGACAGACAACTTCATTCTTTTGCACCACTGTTGAGCTGCACACAGGGCTGTGTGTAAGACCTCTGACCCAGTCTGAGGGAATTTCCCGTTGATTACGATCGCTATGTCATCAGTATAGCTTACTGTGTAATAGCCATTACTGTTGAGTCCCCAAAGTTCATCCATGACCAGGCGCCACAGCAGAAGCAAAAGCATCCCTCCCTGCAGACACCCTCTGGCCACAGCCACCCCCAGGGTCACTTCCAACAATGTAGCACTTATATTCCTGCTTTGCAGCATATCACAGATCCATCAGCATATTGAGAGCTCAATGCCATGCCTTTCAGCAGCCGGTTTTATTGCATCAAATGAGGTTCTATCGAAATCTCCCTCTATGTCAACGAATGCTCCAAGGGCAATATCCTTGTATTCAGTAGCATTTTCTGTGCATGTTACTACATTATGCAATGTGCCTATCCACTAGTATCTCCATCTTCTTCAAAAAGAAAGATGAGAGGCTGATAGGACGATAAACCTTAGCCTTGTTATAATCAAGTTTCCCAGGCTTTGGAATAAATGTCACTTTAACTTGCCTCCAGGCCATAGGGATAAATCCATGCACCACAAAAAGGGGGGGGGGAAGCTATCCCTGTACCAGGCTGTGAAGGCCCATAGGGTTGTGAGACAAGGGTCCCACATTATTTAGACAATCGACTCAAAGATGGCAGTAAGGTTGTCAGCCTTACGCACTGGCCATGCTTTACTCCGCAGGAAAATTATTTAATTAATTCCTGGTACTCATTTCTGTTAGAGGCGGAGTGAACCCCAGGGCCATAGTGCGGTTGGAAGGATTAAATCAATTGAAAAAATTCAATGACCTCATCGAGACTTGAACCCGTGACCTTCCGGCTTGTTGCATGCACCGTACAAGCTCTAAATATGCGGCATAGGTTTGGGACTAAAAGTTCCATCCCTTGCTGCAAGAGTGCCAGTACAATTCCATCTTTTCCTGCAGACATAAATGGTTTGAGTGTACCTAGTGCCCATCTAATTTTTGATTGATTGAACACATGTTTAGCCAGGTTCCCGTCTCCCCTGTTCGTTATGCGTCCTCATATGCCCAGGTTCAGCTGACCCTGTCCATCATCATCTACTTGTAAATCATCAGTCAGCTTTGAATCAGAAAAATAAACTCTGAACAACTCTTTCAGTGTATCTTTTCCCATTTGAGTAAATGACTGTTAGGTAGCTTAATAGTGCTAACCTTATTGGTCGCCTGTTTTGCTATGATCCTCATAAGTCTGGTGTGCGTTGGCATTGCACCCAATGATGAGTCGCTTTTTCCAGCTGTAGAGTAGTCAGTGATGTCCCTCACTTCCTTGGTTGGTGCTGGTTCATCTGAATTATATAGAAGGTAGGCTGAAACAACAGAAAGTTCCTCACAGCCTCCACCATATGTGTGTATTATTCTCACTGTTGTTACATCCCTAGAACAGAACTCCAACAAAGGTAAGGCATTAATATGATTCCTGGAAGGATCTTGCATTATTTTCAGGTGCAACAGAATAAATTGGTCTCCCAGAATTAGTTAAAGCTCTTTATTTGGCCCCTGTATATCCAGGGTTCTTGAATAAGTGCTGCAACTGCCTTTCCATCAGCTGCCTGCTGGCATAAAGTTGCTGTAGCGTAGATTAATCTGAATGACTAATCTGCATCATTAAATAAACCATAAATAAATAAATAAATAAATTCTGACCTTGGACAATTCAGACATCTACATTGACACAAGGACAAGTGGTAAGAATAACTGAAAACATACTAGAAGTACCTGAGCAGAAAGACCCTGTTGCAAATGCTCAGAGCTTAACAGATGATGATCTATTCAGAATATGTGGTGGCCGCACTGCACACAAGTAAGTGAAATTGTTCAAACTTCCTAGAAAGTAAAATATTGATGCAGTAGCTTTGTAATGAAGCATCCATTACTTTCAGAGCAAAATATATCTCCACAAATTACTGTTGCTGTGAGCTCTCATCTGCAAATGCAGCCTTCAGAGCATAATACAACAGATATCTAATTATCATATANTAATTTAAGCAAAACCCCGGCTAAAATCATCGAGCCAATCTGCAGATGCAGCCTTCAGAGCATAATACAACAGATATCTAATTATCATATATAATGTAGTATTTGTCAATTAATTTAATTCTTTGTGTTCAAATGCATTTATAGAAATGTATGAACATGTGAGAGAAAGCAAGCAAGAGGTTAAAAACCATTGCAGTTTTTAAAAACTGTGCCATAAACTTATATTATTCAGTATTTTCTAAAAAGAACAAATGTGTGGTTGAAACATTTACAATTGTGTAACTAAATAATTTTAAATGTTTCCAGGGGTGCAAGACATGGCCTGAAACTAAATGGAAAACTGGCACGAATAGAAGAACAGGAGAAGCAGCTGTTAGCTTGCACAAAAGAGGGCAAGAAAAAGATACTAAAACAAAACAGGGTAAACTTGACAGATAGTGATGATATTAGTTCTTCACAAGATCAATCACGGCATAAATATAATAAATTCCTGCAACCAGAAGAGGTGGAAAAGGAAATTAAAAAGAAGAAAAAATCTAAAAGACCTGACAAAGAAGATTCAGCGCAAACAATAAATATTCAGATATCTCATCTTCAAAGTGAATTTCTTCATTCAGCTATTAATAAAACTCATAATGGAGTTACAAAATCTGAGAAAGTAAACTTATGTTCTGCTGCTACAGTTGGAACTCGGAATGTTGCTCCAACAAATCAGCTAAATACACCTGGAAATGAATGTGCAGTGTTCAGAAAGGAAAAAAAGTACAAAAAGCCAAGAAGTGAAACTGAAGATCACAAATTATGTGAAGGAATGGAAAACATGAAGCAAGAACACCAAAACATGCCTTCACTAGGTAATGGAGCAAAAAAGAGAAAGCAGAAGAAATGGAAAGGCATTCCATCTAAAGTTACTTCTACAGAGGAGACACAGATGGTGGATATTGCTCATGAAGAGTACTTTGCGAGTTATTCTAAGAAGAAGAAAAAAATAGTATGAGGAAGAGAAAGAAAGGAAAACTTTGGAAGTGCAGTGATTCAGTAAATAAACTCCTTACTTTTTTCTGTTAGCATATTATGAAACTTGTGTCAGAAGTTGCTGGTGAAAACTTGCATCTGATTTTCTGACCTGGTTGTGATCAAAATTCTTTTAGGCAAACTGTATTTAAAATCCATCAGACACAGAAATGCAATTAAAATCTTTGGTCCATATGATAAATTAGATTATGAGGATGGTTGAGGGTTGACCCAGACATTATTTTTTACAAGAATAAATGCCAGAATTGCCAAACTCTCACTCCTTTTCAATATAATCTTCCTTTACACAGACACATTTTATCCACCATCCTGGCAAATTAATAATGCTAGCAATATGAAATGTTTTCTCCTGGTACTGTAGCCAGTTCAGGACACTGCATATGAGTTCATCATCAGTTTGAACTCTCTAACCTCCCAGGTGCATCTTCGTTGGTTCAAAGAAGTGAAAGTCACTGGGAGCTAAGTCAGGGCTGTACAGAGTGTGGTTCACGATTTCCCAGCCCACTGTTGTCACTGTCACCTTCATCAAATTGCTGTATGTGGATGAGCAGTGTCATGCAGTAGGATGCTTCCTGTTTTGACAGTTTTCTAGGTCTGTTCTTCCAAATTACTTGGTCCACATCACTTCAAAGCAAGTTACTGTAATGCTGTGCATTAATTGTTACATAATGTGGAAGAAAATCAACATGAATCACCCCTTCGTAGTCCCAAAACATCTCATCATTATCTTGCCAGCTGACATTTGTGTTCTGAATATTTTTGATCCCTAGAGATCACATTCCATGCTGAACCACTTTGATTTTGTGAAGTAGTGCACCCACATCTCATCACAGGTCACTGTTCACTCTAGGAATGTGTTTCCCACCAATTTAAGCCAGGAGAGATGTTTATGGTTGGCAGGTATTGTAACAGTTTGTGCCTTCTGGTCATATGTTAATATATTTGGGACCCACCAGGCACACATTTTTTTGCAAGTGTTCATGGAGAATTGTTTCAAAACTTACAACACTTATGTCACTGCTGCATGCAATATAAGGCAATGTAATTTAACATATTTTCCAAAATAAGCTTTTCACTGTGGCAAATGTTTACATCATATATCGCTGTTTGCTGAAGGTGAGCATGCAGGTTTAAAACTTTCTACAGCCTTCAGAAAACATATTGTACTGAATCATACATATTTATACATGACTGGGTCTCTTGCCCACACTGTGCATTTAATGTACAACTGGTTTCACTTTGTTGTTCAGTAGGAATTTGATGATACAGTGATGTTCTACAATACACGTGCCAAGGTCTGACACCACTTTATACTAGCTATAATGTGCAGAAGTGGAGTGCAGAACCAGCTGCCAGGCTGTGTAGTGTTGCCACTCTGTGGCTTGAGTCCGCAAGCAAACTATACCGACCGAGTGACTGCCGCTTGTCAGCGAAATTAGTGCCAACTTTAGCGGATAGAGGGTGTTGCATGGTCAGCGCAACGAATCTCCATGGCCGTTAATCTCGGTTTTCTAGACTGGAGCCGCTATTTCCCTGAAATAGCTCCTCAATTATTCTCATGAGGCTGAGTGGACCCTGTTTCAGACACATTACTCCGCATAAAATCTGGTAGTGCCAGGCATCGAACCCGGGACCTCTGGATCTGTAGCCAGTTAACTCTGACCACTAGACCACAGAGATGTCCATATAAGAGTTTCATTTTAATGGTGCTAATTATCTTGCTCTGTACTTCGTAACTTCATGTATATAAAGTGAAATAAAATAAAATACAAGCATAAAATTTAAAAATTATACTTCATTTTACACTTAGTAACCATCCATCTACATTTGTACCTATTAATGGAGTCCAGATATACACACACAGTGATGTTTCTGAATGATGTAAATATATCCATGAGCACAGAAAACACTTCTAATGATTTTAACATTGAAAACTTTACTATACAAGGGTGCAAATGGATGAAGCCGTGACACTCAGTGTAACACTTGCGAAATACTGAAATAACTAATAAGTCTAGGCAAAGGCTAGATAAACACATCTCTTACATAATGGACAAATGTAATAACTCTACTGTCAGAAGAACTAAAATTCAGTTGCTAGGGTTTCCATGCATGCAGTATAAATTTAACTTCTGAAGAGATATCCACAACCACTAACCATAAAAGGCAGAGCAACAGACGAACACATTTACTCGACTGTTTGGAGAGGTGATTTCTACACAGTTGGCCTAAAGATTAGAGGAGTACACTTTCAACTTCTGCCATGGCTAAACCGTAAGAGATGTATCTGGACATATTGCGAGTGAAATACTGTAACATGTCTAGACAGCAGCTCGATAAACACATCTAGGTAACAGGCAGCTATAGAACTAGGTTGTTATGTAACCGCTCCACTGTCACTCACAAATTTAATAATTGGAATAACCGGTAATAAAAATTAAGTGCAGGTAACAAGTAATACCAAAGCCAGTGGGACATAGTCACATTCTTGTTTTCAGGAATGGACTTATTCCAAATCTTGATGTTACACAGGAAACACCCCCTGTGGCTTTTTCTGAGAAATTTTGTTTGTGAGTAGCACGGCGGCAAACTTTGAGAATTCGATCACTGACAGGTCCTGCACGTCGTAACTTAAAAGTAGGCGGTTTTGAAGCCCACGCCAAGCAGGTTATCTGTCAGTGTACTGTCAAAAACGATGTTAGGACTTTAAGGTTCAAAGCCCCAAATTGCAGCTAGCTGATTGGAGATTCAGAAATTGTGTAAACCCCAGTTCTCAAAATTACCCAATCAGTGGAATTAAGGGGAGTGACTTAGCAGAGGAACTGACGTCCAGGGGACCTCAGTGTTTTGAGACAAAGAGTCACAAGTTAGTTGACAAACAGTTGCCAAACGGTCGCAAGTGCCTGCTACTCGTAAATAATTCGGAACAAATCTGTGTTTTTCGCTGTTCTGTATAACCAAGTTCAGAGTGCTAAAGAAAGTGTAAATTGTGATAATAACGTCCGTTATACCAGGACTGTGCTAGACAGGACCTACATATAAGCATCCTTTGTATTGACTGTGTGTGCCATCAGGTGAAGGGAAGTGCTGATCGCAATAAATGGTCACAGTGTTTAAGTGTTAATTAGCATTGAACCAACTACTTCCCTCCCCGTCCTAAGCGAGGCCCTAGCAAACGCTCTGAGAAGGATCCCAGCTCTACCCACAGCTGAACTAGCTGACTATCACCTTTACCCCCTTTCCAAAATAAACCTCCGACTATTGTAAGCCGACACCACCTGAGCTTACTGGCGCCCAACCTAAGAAGAAGAAGAAGAAGAAGAAGAAAGAAGGAGAGGAGCGACGAACAACGCGTGACTAACCAATCAACAAGGGGGGGAGTGAAGGTGAGGTAAGGACGGTTACAGTTAGGGTTTCAATACACACAGTATAAATTCAACTGTTGAAGAGATATCCATGGCAATGAACCGTAAAAGGCAGAGCAACAGACGAACACAGTAACTCTACTGTTGGAAGAGGTGATTTTTACACTGTTGGCCAAAAGATTGTAAGAGTAGTGAAGATAACAGACTGAGAGACCGAATGTGTGACGTGTACAGCAACACTAGATAGAGATCAAGTATCTGGTATATCAAGCAGTAACGGCTTTACGTGTTCTCCCTATCCAATGCATTTGCCTCCACTGGACTGTATAAGTGAAAGGCTTGTGGCCCTAAGACTTCCATTTATGCAAATCAGAAGACTGAGATATCAGATGGGAGGATATGGTATTGTAGGACAATAACCGTTTCAATTTCTGACTGTGACAGACATTTTCACCAAAACATTTTTTTTGCAAGGAAATGAAGTAGAATGTGCAGTAAAAAAAGAAAAGCTCAGTAATTGATAATCATTTCTTCTTAGTTTACATTTCTGTCCTCTTTTTTTTTTTTAAGCTAATTTTATTCACCTAAATTCAGATTTCTTCTACAGTGTACAGGGGTTGGACAAAATAATGTAAACACTACAGATACTGTACACATTTCTCTAGTAATATGGTGTTTGACTACCTTTTGTCTTCACTATAGTCACAATCATTCTTGGAATGAACTCGTACAACTTGTGAACAGTTTCTAGATACCTATCATGAAAAATTCCACGTGTAGCAGAAGGCTAAAAATGTTGTGAAATATATCTTGTGCTAAACACAAGTCCTATATCTTGTCATGTCTAACAGTGAGATGCCTGCTCAGGTCTGATAAGATCTAAGAAATAAAGCTCACACAACTGATGTGACAAACATTCATAGCATCTCAGCCATATTTGTAATTGTTAACTTGCAATATTCACATATTAAGTGTAGAGATGTTTATGATGTACCTTTATACCAAATTCCAGATGCCCAGCTACAATAGTTCATTATTTATCACCATCATACTGAAAGGGAACAAAACTTTTTTTTTGCACAGCTGCCACATTGCTACTTTACATTCTATTAAAAATTATGCAATAAAGTTGCCTGTTCTTCGCAGATGTATTACCATACACCACTTCAGGACCCAAAATTAAGTGTGGCAGTGTTGCTTCAACATCACAAGTTTCCATATCCACCAAGTTAACACTGATTTTATGAAATTATGAAGAGTGACATTAGTGTAACCTCTAATGGCATAATTTTCATACCAAATTTCAAGACAGTCAGTCAATGATTCAAAAACTGAATCAGCACATAAGTAGATATTAAAGGGTTCTTATGATGTCATGGAATTACTGGGTTTTTGGACTTGCTGATATTCAGAAGAACATAAAAACTATGTTGGATCTGTTGCCATCCTCATGCGAGGGCACATGGGAGATATCTACTGTTGGGTCTGTTAGAAAGACCTAGCTTCAATCACTGGAAAACCTATCTCAATATAAATACAGCTCTGTCTGTGTGTACCTGAGCTCAGGGGCTGTCAACAGGAGGCAACAGGAAAATGTGCAAAAACAAATTATGATAGTGCATGTCTGTCTGTCTATTTATCTATCTATGGCTCTACAGCCATTGTGGACCTTGGCCACTTTTTCAGTTGCTTAATCTATAGTCAGTAGGACTCCACTGATGGGGGATAAGCCAGTTGCAAGGCTGCTACCTACACAGAACAACACAATCAGAATAAACGCACACAGACATCCATTCATGGAATGGGATTCGAACCCATGATCCCAGTGTTCAAGCAGGCACCTCTCATTCGAATCGCAGGATTGTTGAGGGGATAATCATAAGGTGAGGCACAATAGATCACTGTGGTCACGGTGCTAGGGCCAAGAAGGCTCACCCCTTATGCATTCATTCATTCATTCATACTGCACATTTCAGATGAAGTCGCACCTTCTATAGCCGTGTCTCTGTAAAGTCTGAACTCAACTGGTCAAGCCTACTGCACCATGCAGCTACTCTTCCATGTTTTGCTTGTTGGGCATTGAACATGGCGCAGGCGTAAAAATCTAAGGTTTTCCTAGTAGCATATGCTCCTTCAGTACGGCCTTAACACTAGCCCAATCATCGGTATCTTGCTGAACAAGCAGTTTTGCCTTTGCCTCGCCTGTTATACGAGTGTGTACTACTTGTAAAATAGATCATATTTAGTCAATTAGCCCAAAAGCTGCATCGACATTTTCGCAAAACTCTTTCAATTTGTGTTTGTCACCGCTAAACGGTTCAGCTACCAAATTGAAAGCATCACTGACACTTATATATTTGTCAGTCATTTTTCAGGTGTACAGACATGGATAGGAGGAACAGGTTGGCAAGAGTAACTTACCTTGTTCACTAGATTGCTCCCGCCTCCAATTGTTGTCTTCACACCTCGCCTCTTAAGCAAAGCTGGACACACTCTCTGGCAACGCAGACTCGGACACTGACTCTTGGCCAGTTTACTGGTGTCACGTCGGCAATAGCTCAGTACCTCCACTGGACAGGCACCTCTTTGCCCGCGTCCTGGAATGATGTCCCCTTTCTTGCAATCGTCCTGGTACTGCACAGGAATGGGAAACCACCTTTGCTGGATGGACACTTTCTTGGAAGCGTCGTAGATCGACGTCCCTTTGTTGGAAATCGTTCTGGTGATGACCTCCTTCAGGAATGACCCACTCTGCAATATGTACGCCAGTTGCCAGTCCTCCACTCTGTTAATGTCGATAGCGCGCTTGGTCGCTACCGGTCACCTTGCTGGTTGTGCTCAAGGAGTTCTTCCTCTATCTGTATTGGTTAAAATCTGTAGAATTCGTTCACTTCACAGATCTGCAATCCCACTTCTTCCACCATTTTTTTTTTGTTGTGACCCAAGATGATGGTGGGTCGGCTGAATTACGTTGGCCGAGCGGTAGCATAATAATTCAGTGATGATGATGTCAGTTGGCTGCCTGAGCGTGTATTCCAACCACAAAGAGCAAATACTACAGAATATAGAGGATTTATTGAACTGTGGGTATATTACATAAAGTGCTCGCGGACGTAAGCCTGGCCAGCCTTCTCCTAGTAACAACCCAAACAAAATGCACCCTTCAACTATTCTCTTGTTCTTGAAAACTAATCTAAACTAAGGTTGCAGCCCACGGGTTGTGCCATGGCTCAAGTGGTTAGTCGCTGGCTTCCCACCCTCGCAGCCCGGGTCCGATCCCGGGTCTGGTCAAGTGGGATTTGTGGTGGACAAAGTGGCACTGGAGCAGGTTTTCTCTAAGTACTTCGGTTTCCCCTGCCAATCTTCATTCCACCAATTGCTCCTCAATCACCCTCGTCTATCATCTGGGGCTGGTACAATAGGCCAGAAGTGACTGCAGTACAAGGGACTTAGTCCCACCCCACTAGCAATAAAAAAAGGTTGCAGCCAAATGTCTCGAGACATGAACCCCTAATGAATATCAAGTTACACCAGAGCTAGTCGAATGATAGGTCCCAGATGGAATTCTCCAGGACTCCACTGATTTATGAAATTGGCAGGGGTAGATATAATATTTTTAAATGGAAGCAGGCCAACCTTTTGACACACTATAGGTTTTAGTAGAAGGCATGACCCCAAACATCAGACTCAGGGTCCCTAAAACTACATGTGTGGTACAAACCTTTGCAACAGATAAAACTTCTGTAAGTGTGGCCGACATGGTCCCCTCAGTACCAGATGCAATGGGAAAGAAATATGTGGAGGTAACCATCTGACAGGAAAAGGCCATAAGTATAGGAAGGAAGCTAGATGCATAAACTGTCAAGGCAGTCATACTGCCTTCGGTAAGGACTGTGGAGAAAGGGAAGATGAAGAAAAGCTAAACAGACTAATGGTAACCAAGAACATAATAGTAAAGAGGCAAGAACAGTCATTAAGACCATGGATCACAGGCCCCCCATGTCTCCTCCATTTAGACCCACAGAAGATGATTTCCCTCTCACTGATGGGGGGCATTCCAACCCTATCTCTTAACAAAAATCACGCAAGCTTCCCTTGAAAATCCAAAGATGACCCCAACAACTCTCAACAACGGTTCCTGGTGACCAGTGGCAAGACAGAGAGCAACTGGCTTAAAAGAGAAGCTGACTCATCTTGCTCCCCCCATACTCCTTACAGGTGAAGAAGAACCAGGAAGGAAGGCCAAAGGCCCAAGAGAAGAGGAAGACTGTGTCGGAAATCAGTGGTTTGGCTACTATGCTCCAAGATACTACAGGAATTAACTGAAAAGGCATTCTGCAAGGTCCTCCTAAAGATAGGCACAGGTAACCCCATCTACCATGCCTTGAATAATGCTAAAAAATAAAATTATAATCATGCTTCACCGCAACTTTTATTGTACATTTTCCCGTCATCTCACATTGACAAACCTTGATTTCAGGTGCGCGCGCACGCACATGCGTAGCTGTGGTTATACTGACACGATGTCCAGTGGTTGAGGTTAGGTCTTTCTAACCAAGCAGGGCAGGTGTCTCTCACACACTTACCTAAGGACACAAAGAAGATCCAGTTCCCAAAACGTTTTGTTCTTTAGAATACCAGAAAATGAACAAAAAGAAAAAACATTAATCCCAATGGGACACAAACAGTATGATGATCTTACAAAGCTTATTTTTTCCTTAAAGAAAGCTGGATAACAGTAACCTCAAGAAAGTGTTTTAAGTCACTTGGCCATAGGGATGCTGGGGCTTTGAGGTCCCATGAGACCCTGGGAAGGCCAGATTGACCATGCTCATTACATTATCCGATAAGTACTTATTATGCATGTTTATTTCACTTTGTTGAATCACCAGTAAAAACACGATATACAGTGTTTGTGTGCAAGATACTATGACAACGTAATGCATAAGGTTCACTCCTAACATTAACCGTGATTTAGATGATCTCAAAGGCACCTTCTTATAACGGCTTTATTTTTTTACATTTTATCCTTATGAATCATATTAAGATATGTTTACAGAATAATATTGTAATGTGCAGGGTGGTACACATGACAAGAATAATGGGTTCTAGTCCAGATGGATTTATTAGCATTTCAGTTACACACACACTTTCTCTTAATTACACTTAAATACATCACTATCATTGATTTACACACACACTCTAGTCTTCTCCTGGTGCCACAATTAAAACGCAGAACTACAAGTCTCACTAAATTACACTCCCAATCCCATTGCACACATAAACTCTTCAAATCACACATCAAATCCTCACAAGCCGACCTCCTGTACTCCGGGTTCAAATCACTCTGTTAGCGTGCTTCCGCCACTACTATCTCTCTCTCCACACTGCCGACTTAGGAACTCTGCTCATTTATATAGCTGAGGGACCGACACCGACCAACAGTAAACACATATCATGCAACTCCTACCCACTGTTGCTCTGTGATGTCACTGCACATGCACAAGCTGACAGACACACAGGAAACACGTCACATAACGGCCACCTACTGTTGCTCTGTGATGTCACCACTCCTGCATGAGCTTGCCCTACTGTTGCATTTTTGCATATAATGTTTACAGAGATGTTGCCTGGCAATGGGCTGCATAACCCCACTCTTTCCACTGCTGAGTGGAACAGCAAACACAGAAACCAAAGCCTCATCTGTTGAGTAACTTAGCAACAGACTGTTTATCAAGAATCTGTCTTCGCCGTATCTTGTTCACCACTCATTGCCTAGCAATGGGTGTACTTCTAACAATATTTACTGTTAAACTGGGGCTGCATCAAGACAGAGCAGATCCACCAGAGGTTTTGAGGCCCAAGCATGTTAACTGCACATCACTATATTATTATGGTCTCTGCTCTTAAATCTTGTCTTACTGGAAAGTAGCTAGCATTAAGAACTTCTGATGTGGAGAGGAGCGAGGGTAATTTAATCATCAAAGCAAGTAGATGGGATTGCACATAATTAACTCATTCTGCAGATAAAATGCCTCAATAGTCCCTTTATTAAAAGACAGTAAAAAATGCTGTCCAATTTTGAAGTCATCAAAGTCATCATATTCTTAAAAGTAGACAGATTTGTGAAAACACTAGTGATTAGGTCAATGACTTGTCAGTGAACATACACTTAAACAATATGTATGAGGATCGACTTCTGTTCCAGAATTCCCTTATTCATTCCTAGATTAACGACACTTTTCTGTTTCAGCTTCACATCCCAGCAATCATACCATATCCATGGCATGCCAAACTTGAAGACATTGGTGCTAACTTTCCCACACCAACTAACAGTCTTTTTACATGGAAAGGTTTCTATTGGACAGTCTACAAACAGTTCTCAGAAGGTACTAGCTTAAGGCAAATTTATTGTGCTTCCACTGCAGTGGATCTCAACTGTTTTCTTTTTAAAATGTATCTGCAAGTAAGACCTTAAACATGAAGTCTGTTTTTCATTATGATTACATATGCACAATATATTGTCATGTGTATGAGTCTACACACTACAATATGTACAGAATGCTGAAGCATTAGGTGATGGTTCACTTCTATAATAGTGTAGTTTAGTCCTGTCCTTCACGTGTCACGGCTCATGCATAATATAATGAATATATGTTCAACATTAGTGTCACATTCTTTACATATGTAGATATGTTGATCTCACTTTGACCACGTTATGTATCTTCCATGAGCAATCTCACGGATTAAAAGATGGCTTTTAGGCTTAACAGCTTGCCTGTATTCCTGACACTTAAACCTATGTTCAACAGATACGGTTTCATAAGAGTCTTCAGTTGTGGGCTTCATCTCAAGCTGCAACCGCATTGCTTTTTTATCATTCACGGTAACAGATCCAACTGCAGAGTATGTTGCATGTGGCTTCTCCATATATTTGAGCTTTGGAAGTGAATTGTACCTTCTAGAGTGCTCATGACTAACCTCATGCATTACAAGGCAGCTTTTTAGCTCAAAGTTTTCTCCGCATTCCTGACACTTGAACCGATGTCCTTCAGATGATGTGTCACAAGTGGGCTGAACCGCGGGCCGCATAAGCCGTTTAAGATGCTGCTGCACTTTTTTTTTATTCACTTTTACGGAATTGAGATAGTTTGTTCTATATGATTGATTCATAATGTAACACATTGCAAAAGAAGAGGGTGCAGAACTGGTTTTCTTCTCATGCCGCTGCTGCATTGCTTTCTTAACATTCACATTAACAGATTCAGCACAGTTTGTTGCATGTGTTGGCTTCACATACTCAACCGTTGGAGGTGGCTTGTATTTTCGATAGCGATCATGACTAAGCTCATGATTTACAAGATAGCTTTTAAGCTCAAATGTTTCACCACATTCCTGACACTTGAACTGATGTTCAACAGACTTCCCATAACAGCGTGCAATCTTAGGCTCCATCTCAAACTGTTGTTGTCGCATTACATTTTTAACAGTCATATTAACAGATCCCAAGTTTGTGGTGTGTTTTCTATGTTTTCTAATTGTATCTTTGTTCGGTGCCAAACACAATTTTACTAACTTAGTATCACTTCCCAAAGCAGAGTCCACATCATTACGAATACCATGATGATTTTTCAGTGTAGAATTAGCATATACATCTATGCCATTCAGACCATTATCTGATGTGTTCCTTCCAAGACTAACAGAGTTAGGATTTTCAATCTCCGAACACTGTACATTTACTGGAAGCGAAGTAACTTCAGTATTATAATATTCATTAGCTGATGCATCATTCATGAACACTTCATCATCACTCAAAACTTCCTCTTTTATAATTACCTCCTGCCTTGACAATGAGTTACTGCAACTTTTAAACTGCTTATGGCCAATCTCGTGCATTTCTAGCTGACTTTTAAGCTCAAATACTTCACTGCAGTGAAGACACTTGAACTGATGCTCAACAGGCTGAGACACCTGTGTTTCTACTGTTTGAGACTTCTGAGGTTCTAGTTGCACCACCTTCCCTTTATCTATTTTGAGGGGACTTGTAACCTCTGACTGATGTTGATATTTCTCAATTATATTTTTGTTTCCCATCAAGTTGAATTTTAATGAGGACTCAGAAATACTATTCGTAGTAGTTCCAACATCAATGTACATTTGTTGGTAACTTTTCAGTGGAGAATCAGCAAGTAAGCTTACAAGAATAGAGCCATGTTTTGGTGTCTCATTACTAGCCTGTATTACATTATCCTTCACTAATTCTGAACACTCTACATCCACAGGAAGTGAAGTATCTGCAAATTCATAGAAATCATCAATACTGTCACAATTCAAAATACTTTCATCATCACTTAAGGCTTCTTCTTTGAACGTTACTACTGCCATATCACCAGAATTCTCATCTGAAGTTCTAAACGTCACATCTGGGTCACTCTCAATATTGGTGATATTTGCACTGGTGATGGAGGATGCCATATTTGCAGAACACTGAAGTCAAGTTCTCTCTTTACAGACATCCAGTCACCTCAGCTGATTTCACAGTTCCTGAAAATAAAATTACAAATATATTTACATATATGTAGGTAAAGAGATATGGGGGTCATACTAAAAGTTGTGAATATATTTATTGTACAGTAACACGAAGAGACATATATGAAAGTGGATACTGTCAGTAACAACAGGATGTGTCCCGATGACTTTTCTACAAAAACCATTAGAATGATAACTATATTTCATTTGGCACTGCAAAAGTTTAAGAATCCCACAGCAGGAGTCTGTTACAGCATCTTCCAGTCAGCTATGCATAGCATGCTCGTCTACCTCATCATTAAATGCATATTGCAGTTTCTTGAGAGTCTGAACATCATGAATCATGCTGATGGTTTTCCTTCTGGCACGAAACCAAACAGTATACATCCGTGAAAACAATTCCCACCTTTTTGGGCAAGGGTACTATTATGGCCTCCTTTCATGGGGACATGGTGTGATGCCATTCCATGCTCTCTGTTACGTGGTTTCTTAGTAAAAATGATTAAATGAGTGGAAATGGGAACAAATGTTCTAATATGCTATCATCATTTGCATGGTAGAGCACCCTATGCCAACATGTACTCCAATTTCTTTCACCGTCACCCTTTGGTCCTCTTCGGTGGGCATGCTGTTGGGTTCACTTCAGATGGTTCTTAACTAACCACAGCATGGCTGATAATGTGTGCCTGTATCTCAGTCTTTAGACATTTCACCTACCATCTGATACTGCTGATGCCCATGCAGTCATCTCTCTAAACATGACCCACAGATGCCAGCAGGTGACCTGTTCATCTTCACAGAAAATTCACAAAATAATGCATCAATGAGAGCTAGTCTGTCACAATGGATGGCAGGAACATCAGTAGTGCTCATCTGCAGGGTCTATCTGTATTTATACTGGAAGGGATATGTGTTTTTACAAGCCTCACACCATGTGTACTACATACACACTCAATATTTGTATTCTGACCATGCTCATGGCTTGGTATGGCCCACATGGATATCATAAGATGAGTGGTATTTAATCTGTGCACTGCAAACAAATTGGTGGGTAGCACAATGCCTCACATGGATCAATAAAAAAATTAATGCAAGTTATTAACATGTGCTATATGTCATACAATTGTCTGTCTAAAATAATATTATATTTGAGCATCCTGTTGTATTGACGTATCAATCACTCATTCACCTCTGTCTTTAATGCAACTTACAAATGTCAACAGGTAAAAGTAAAGTTGTCCCTGTGTTTAACTAATTAAGAACTACACAATGAAGGCATATGGGGGAGCAGATGTACAGATCCATATTTTCTTAACCTCAGCACTAGCTGGAGGTGAGTGGTCAGCTTCAAGCCCTGGCTGCTTTACCCCAGGGGAAAGAGCCTCAAGTACACATTGGATAGGAGGTTGGGTGGACCCCAGAGCTGGTCTGGACAATTTGGACCAGAGAAAATTCTTGACTCTACTGGGACTGGAACTCCAACCCATTGGTCATCCAGCCTATATCCAGTCTCTATACCAACTACGAGTATGCTATCCCAGCTCCTTAAAAATTACAAAGCCTACTTTATTTAAGGCCATAAATGAACTTCACATCTACCTACAATGCACAGCAAGTGCAAGACTCTTAGACACTGTTAAAGATACGTCCTCACAAATCTTTATGACACCGGTACTCAGGTGGGATCTGTATTCCCTGTCACAAAATTAATTAAAACTTCATCCATATAAAAATGACTGTGCATGATCTTCAACAACCAGATTATGCTGCAAGAATTCATGTATTACAGTCATGGATTCACAGCTACTGTTCATAACTAACAAATCATGGTTTACCTTAATGATCATGTCAATGCACGAAACATATGAATACAGGCTGAAGAAAATCCTGTCATTCAAACTAGTATACAGTACATAGAATACAAGGGGTGCTGAAAGCGTGTGGTTAATCAATGCCCCAATATTTTTCAGAAAAAAATGAGTTCTGATTGGTACCTCAACAAATTAACAACTTGATCTGATACAATACAAGCATATTTACCAAAATCTCTGGGATGAAAAAACTGATGTAATTTCTTCAGTTTCTGAGGAAAAACTTCAGAAAGCATTACAGAACTTGTTTATGAGCTACAAGGCATGTCTGACGGCAGAAGTGGGGGGGGGGCTGTCTTCCAGTCATTCTTGTAAAATATGGCAAGTCTGTGTTGCTGTTTTACAGTAACAAAAATATGAAGCTGTGAATAAGCAGAGATTGTTATGAAAGTCAGCATCACACATAGGGAAAGGCTATGTGGTTAGGGCCCTGCACTACTGTAAGCAGCACGCTTTCATCTCAAATGAGAATTCTATACTAACAACCATAATAAAATGCATGAATCTGTGATAGTTCAACCGGTTTGTTAGTGATGGTATGCTATGAGAGATTTGCATGACTCCCAGAGTCGTAAGAGAGTAAAATACTGTAATGAGTTCCATGGGATTTCTAACTAAGAGTGTCTATGCTAGCAAGAGCCACCAGCAATTTATCTGTCCAACCATGATAGATCAATCAATAACTGTGGCCTAGATGGTCAGGTTTCAATTGTCAGAAAGGCATTCAAAATATTCTCTTTGTCACAGTGCCTAAAACAATTCTGGAGTTCAACGAAGCTTCCCTGTTCTTAACTAACACATTCATTTGCAGCAACTCTGTTCACTTGCATCCCAGAACAGCAATTTTTGACAGTGCACTACTAGTTCATACAGGGAATATTTTTAGTAACTACATGCATTCAAGGCTCTGTGCTTCACCGCTACCAGTGCATCGCCAACCACAAAGCGCACACAATTTCTACTGATGACTCAGCATGCTTAACGACCGATGAGGTTTGGAACGAAGGAAAATAATTAACTTGTAGGCCTCTACACAGTATTATGTTACACGACGGGCAGTGCTGTTCATTCATGGGAGTTTGTTTATGATTTGTGAGCAGCAGGCAGTAGTTATCAGTGCCATGACCCATTTGCTCTCAGCTAACAGCAGTGTGGCATGACATGGGTTGCTTTACTTTAAAGCAATACGTATTTCTGTATGACACCTACGGGAAATAAGGATCTGCTGGAAAAAGTCGGCAAAAATTTTGATGTAAATTTCGTTATGAAAGAGTTCCCAGCAGATAAAACAATTCATAATTTGGTTGAATAAACCTAGAACAATGGGACCCTTAATAGACAAGAAAGCAAAACATATGTGTTTAGTGCTTACTGAGAAGTTAGATGACATAAAGACCAGACATGCACATACACCTAGAAAATAACTGAAACATCTAGCTTGAGACATTGGAGTGTCAAAGTCTAGTGCAAGAATGGCAACATAACTGCTGAAGCTATCCAGTGAAATTTGGTATGGTGTGTTGTAAGTGAAAGAAGGATTGTTGTATGTGTATTCTTTAATGAAACAATTAATTGTGAAAGATATTTACATAGAGGACTAGTGTTTTCAACACCTCCTGTGATCTGTGAGCAAAGGTAAGAACTTTCCTTCATTCCAAACATTGTCGGCATGCCGAGTCCATGGTAAAATTTACATGCACTTTGTAGCTGGCAGTGTGCCGGTTGTGGTGAAGTGCAGAGATATGAATGCGTCAAGCTCTGAAAAACTCCCTGTAGTATTCCATATAACCAAGGAATAACAAAACATAGCTACAGGCATCATGTAACAGAAGAAGAAACTTCATGCCTACAGTGCATGTGAAAGAGAAACATTTTGCCCTGTCACAACATGTTATTCTCCAACCTAGGCAGACTATGGTACTCTGGGCAAAGCACTGGTAAATTAAATGACTAAACTCAGATATGGAAGCAGTTGTGTTAATTACCACTCTATGAAGACATATGAGGGAGTAAGGGTACAGCTCAACCACTGTCAACTTCAATGCTTGATAGGGGTTGAGTGCTCAGTATCACACCTGAAGCTTTATTCCTGAGGAAACAGCCCAGATAGGAAGGTGAATGACCCATAGTCAGTCTGGATGCTGTGGAGAAAAGAAAAATCTATGGTCCCTGTCAGAAATCAAATGTCGATTCTTTGGCCATCCAGTCTGCCATAAGTTACAACCTATTTCCCTTAGATTCACCTTAATATTATCTCCTATGTCTTACAAGTTGACAATTTCCAATCCTAAGAACAGCACAGAGATAGTAGCACATACTCCATACTAAGACAGCTTACATAACACCACAATTTTAGTGTTTTGTCCAGCACATTTGTTAAAATATTACTGTGTAATGTTTGCATTATTATGAACCATGGTTAAAAGGTTTGTAGGTAACATACCAATACAATAATGGGTCATATACACATGGGTTTATCTGCAAACTTCGACTGTTACAGAAAAATCATGGCTTAAAACCTACAATTGTTAAACTCATTACGTATGTATGGCTGCCCATGTATGATGGTAACTATGCAATTTTGCAATGAATGGAATTAAGAAACGTCAAGACATCTTGCAGAAAGGCAGTACTGTCTAGCAAGCACACTACACCAGCCATAACGACTGCTCAGAAAATGAACAACGTTTATTTCAATTTGAATGGAATACTGTAATTTTATTTTATAAATAAAACTCACTTGTGTCTGGAATATTCTAAATAACTGTGTTACTATTCAATATGAAAGCAAATGGCCCTTAAACGTTATAATGTTTAAACGGTTACTACTGTGCACGTTCCAAAATCTTTAAACATGCTGGTAATCTTACACCTAACCCAGAAACTGCAATAATCCGCATTTTAAATATATTTACATTGATCAATTTTAAATATGAGTATATCAGAAACGGAAACAACTTTACACACCATACTCTGAAACTTAAAATATGCAATTGACGATGACTATACTTGCGTACATTGCCACATGCTACAGGTATTTTCCAACACACCTCACAATCGCGTTTCAAAAATTCCCCAGTATTCAATACAGCGGTCTGAAATATTACAAATAACCGATACCGGATGCTATACTGCTTTGTGATACTGAATACAGCAGTTACAGTAAAACGTAAAACCAGCACACAACCTTCCCTGAAGACCGCTGAAGACGTACAATTTTCAAAACAACCTCAACCCACTTACGTGTATCGATATCCATAACATGAATACCAAATTCGGTTACTACCAATGAATATACCTCCACAACAACACTTCAATCACAGCTCTTTATTGGGATATTCATTCAAATCCACAGACTTATGCTACATTTAGAACGTTTCAGTTACATGTTATATTACAGATTCTCCTTAAAATACTGTATTATTCTTTTAAATGTCCCGTAACAACATAACTTCGACATCTGTAACTATAATCTAATTTACCCGCATGGTAGGCGATGGTTGGTTATAATACTCGTATGTACACAACAGAATATAGGTCTCTAAATTTATGGGGATGTTTTAAATTCTATTTACGGCAATGAAAGTAGCTTTTTGGCCAGGTACACTTCATAAGGAACGGAAGGATGAGGAAATGAAATACAAGGGTGCAACATGTTAGTATGAACTAACTAACTTAATGGATCTGAGTCCTTGAGAAGTCGCCAGCTACCCAAGAATTTCCCAACATTTTATGGGACCCTTAGGTACATTTCTGTGTTCACAAGAGCCCACCAGTCCATACCACCCCAACCCATGTGTCCAAGATCCATTTTAAAATTGTCCACCCACCTACATCTTGGTCTTCCTAATGGTCTCTATCCTTCTGGCTTTCTCACCAAAATCCTCTATGCATTCCTCTTCGCCCACATTAGTGCTACATGCCCTATCCCTCTTATGCTCCTTGACTTGATCATTCTAATTATACTTGGAGAAGAGTACAAGTTATGAAGCTCCTCATCCACATATTCTCCTCAACACCCTGTTCTCAAACACCCTCAGTCTATGTGCCTCCCTTACTGTCAGAGACCAAGTTTCTCACCCATACAGAACCACAGGCAAAATTATAGTTTTTTTTAATATTCTAATATATATGTTTTTGGACAGCAGACGAGAAGACAAAAGGTTCTGAACTGAATGGTAGCAAACATTACTCGAGTTCAATCTCCTCTTAATTTCCTCCTGAATCAGGTTTTGATTTGTTATCGTCATTCCCAAATATCTGAACTTCGCCACATTTTCAAAACATCTGTTTCCTATTGCTATGTCTTGATTTTGCCATGCATTTTGGTGACGAGACAGCAACATTTACTTAGTTTTCTCTGTGTTTACTTCCAGACTAATCTCCTTACTAGTGTCAATTCAAGTTTGTGTGTTTTTCTTTATGGTATCCATATTATCACCCAGTACATTCACATCAGCATAGATCAACAGCTGATGTGTCCCATTTAATTACGAGTACATGCCCACCTGCTTTTCCTGGACCTTCCTAATAGCATATTCTAGAGCAAAGTTGAAAAGCAGTGGCAATAAAGCATCTCCTTGTTTTAGACTGTTCTGGATAGGAAGATTCAGACTAATGCTTACCTATATGGACTTCACTATACATTTCATTTAAACACATTTTAATCAACCTAACTAGTTTCATGTGTACCCCAAACTCTATCAGAATATTGTACCATACTTTTGTCAACTGAATCATAGGCTTTCTTGAAGTTTATGAATAGCTGATGTACTGTCTCATTGTGCTCCCATTTTTTCTCCAGTATCTGATTAATGCAAAAGAACTGATCAGTAATTGATTTATGTCAAAATCCACACTGATGATTCCCAGTAATCTATGTGTGGACTTAACCTTGAGAGAATAGTGGATAAAATTTTGTACGAAATTGATAGCAGCGATATCCACGATAATTACTAGTCAGTTTTATCACCCTTCTTGTGAACCAGTACAGTAATAGACTCCTATAGCTGTAGTACTTAAAGGAGGTGAGTGGTAGCTCCACATTTCATCCACATTTAGGGAAAAGAAGACAGCAAGACCTCCAGAGCTGCTCTGGACATGGGGACAAGAAAATTCTCCCAACACCCCATCTGGTAATTAGACCCCTGCAAACCATCTCTAACCCATCAATTTACTGATGAAATTTTTGTAATTCTACTTTTCAGCACTAAAATAATGTTCCATATATATGTGGGGCAGTCAAATGAAAAGGGTCAGGGGCCAAAACATATTAAAGAACATTTCTTACCTCAAAAGTTATCTCCAAAACTGTTAATAAATTTATCCCACTGGGAGATAAGACGGTCAATCCCATCCTTGAAAAAGTTTGTGGGCTGTCTGCAGAACCACAAATGAAAATATTCTGTGATTACTTTGTTATGAAATACAAAATACCATCTTTATTATATATTAAGAAATTCCAAAGAACTCGCCCATTGTCTTTTCTTGGAACTTGAGACATGTTGATTTTGTAAAAAATAATCACACTATATACAATAATCTTTTTTCCAGACTGTATGCAAGCATGAAATGCATCACTTCAGAGTTTATGATAACTCCATTCAATGCTCACACTCTGATGCGCATGTGCCACTTCTTGAAGCAGTCCTGAACACACAGACCTTCATCATTTTTTACAAGTGTAGAGGGTGTTCCTGGTTTTCTTAATTAGCAAACACACACATCTTTGTTTCCCTTTGGATGGCCAGTGTTGCAAATGTTTCACCTCTAGTTGACTCAGTTGGGCCCCTGATTAACGTTTCCTCCCTTGAGAAACACCACTGACTGTGATATTCACCTTGTGCGATTGTACAATCAAATCTCACAATAGGATTTTGTGGAATTTTTTGTGTGTAATTTTTCCACCACTGACTTGCGCAATAAATAGGCATTTTGTATATTCATGTCTAGATGGTGGAAAAACATTTTTTTTGTTGATTTCCATGTCCTCTAGACAATTCCAGAACTATTTACCATCCTGTCAGATTTATCCACAAAGCCCACATTTGCACTGTTGCCTTCAATGGCTTTATACCTGTTTCAAGACAAAATAAAAATGTTTTATAAATAAATGACAATCTGACACTGACTTTCTGACTGATAATTCACTACTGAAAACCAATCCTTGAAAACAACCCACTTCCTTGTAAGCTCAAGCAGTACTAATCTGAATGCACAGGTGAATATTTATTTCTCTGCTCTCAAAAAAAGATGTGTTCTTTTTGGCTGACCAGTACCATGATAAATGATTTCACTGTTCAGAGTTAACGACCTTGCATAGGTTTGTTTTGGTTTCAGCCTCAAAATCAAAGTGTCAGGATTCCCAAAGAGTGCATATGTACTTTGTGTACTCGCGTTAAATCTAGCATTTGTCCACAGTTGAGCGTTACTTGCTGTTAGATATATCTAACATTAGTAGGTTAAAGGTTGACTTCCACACAATATGGTGTATGCTCTGCAAACGTGACTTCAAAGTATATAACAAGAGAAAGAGGAGCATCTGAAACATTACACAGACCTTCCTTCGGGCACAGAGGATATTCCTGGAAAGCCAGAAAGACAATAACCAGGACACCTGGGGAAGTAAAGGTTCTATGGGTGTGAGCTATGAACTATATATAACTGCTCAAAATTCTGTAAACTTTATAGTTAATCACTGTTAATATTATGGGCGGCAAGGGGAGGAAGGACTGCTAATTAACCCTTTGACGTGGTCATTTAAATTCCGCGGCCGCGGCTCCTGCGGTAATATATTCAGCCGGCCATTTAAATATTGCTCGAAAATGATTTATTCATCATTGTTCTTAAATTATATGAGATAGGATCATGAAACTTTCAATAAAATGATCTTAAAAGGTGGTTTTATAACCTTGCCTTATAATATGAGCGCCCGTTATCTCGGCAATGGAAGCAGTTGGTTTAGAATTTGAACAGTGTATCGTACGCCTTGAAGCATNAGTAATCTACTGATGATTACTATCTTCTGGGACAAGACACCAAGTAGTCTTGGAGATGCTTACTGACATTTTGGAGAATGTACTGCCTCCATCTTCAGGGCAAAAGTTGGAGGCAGTATATTCCTCCTAAATGCTCATACACATTTACCACATTACATAGCACACATCTCTCAATGTGGCTGCCATGAGAACCTCAATCTTAAAACATGCTATCTGTGAATGTGTACATAGTGAAGGAAAAGCATACAACCAAGAAATTTCAATTCCTTTATTGTGGCAAAAATAATTTTTATGATAGAAACCAACTTGTGCAGGTCCTTACAGTTGCATTATTTTTGGCACTAGAAATAAATGAAGTTATGCTCAAGTCATAACTGGAATATGAAAGGTCAACAGTAACTGTGTTCTGCTTATTTCCCAAGGTGGACAACTCATACACAAAAGATAAGCACAGCAGTTTGATGAAAGGAATAAACTTCATAAAATATATTTCATTCACTACAAAATTTTAAGCTTAGATGTTTGTGTACAGAAAAGAGATAAGGTTATAACATTTTCACTTTACTTAGCCAATTTATAAAGAACTAGGATTTACAAATTCTACAAGGAAAAATTACAACCCTACACTGTACATCAGTTTCAGAAACAGGTTTACAATAAATAAATTGAACTGCAAATGACATCTTCAATATATTTTTTCTTAGATCTAAGTGAAGTACAGTAAAATATACAAACTCCATACACTCTCCTATATTGAAAAGCAAGAAATATTCATGACCTTCTGTTCTTGGACAAAAAATATGTAATTGAGAATAAGTATAATACACAATTATGTCACATTCAAAATTCACAACTTAAAAAGGTTTTTCCACCAACAAAACTGTAAGATTCAATGCTCTTCCAATACGAAATTCAGTAATATTTCTTTAAGAAAAATACACATTTTAAGACTTTCAAATTTCTGTATTTTCTACATCATACAGCATATCTGTTTCAAAATTTTATTTATGTGCAGGAATTCCTGCCTTAAATGTGCATGGTGTTATGGTAAAATATGTTGCTGTAATATAGGCAACAAACAAATATCACTTGACGTGAAAACCTAGTGTTCACTTAGAGCAAAATAAGGGTGGAAGTCACCATGTTACAACAATAAAAACTGTACTGTAATACTTTTTCACTGTAATGAAAGAAACTGGAAATCACTGTTATTTAAACAGCTTCCTACAT